CAAGCGCAAGGTCCCAAGTTCGATCCCCGGTACCAAAAAAAAAAAAAAAATGATACCACATAATATATGATACAGTATGTCATTTATGAATACATATAACCACAGTAAAGCTATGAAAATACACTAGGCACAGATATTTCAAATTCAGGATTGTTATTGTTTCTAGAATGAGACAGAGGAAGGAAGGAATGGAGGGAAGACAGCAAAGGGGATGTCAACTTTATCACTGTTTCTTTTATGAAGTAAAATTAAGAGAGGGAAAAAACTTAACCAAAAAACTAACAAATTATACGAAGCAAATATGACAAAATCTTAATATTTGTTCATTCTAGATGAGCACATAGATGTTTGTTAAACAGTATTATTTTCTATACTTCTTGGTTTTTTTGTTTCTTGAGACAGGGTTGTAGCCCAGTTTGGCTTCAAACTCCTAGTAACCCTCCTGCCTCAACCTCCCAAGTGATGAGATTATAGGCATGTACCACCACACTCAGCTTTTTTATATTTTTAAAGTTAAAAAATAAAGCTGCACAGCCAACAAAACCATCCTGTCCTTTAATTGCTCCTTCTCTTAAATCCTTTCATTGCCTCTGCAATCAAAGGAGCTGCCCAAAGCACTCCTTAAGTAGAAAGAGACGTCTAACATTTCTTTTTTTTTTTTTTTTTTTTAGTACCGGGGATCAAACTCACGTCCTTGCGCTTTTGAGGCAGGTGGCAGAACCACTGAGCTAAATCCCTGGCAACGTCTAACATTTCTTTAAAATTTTTTGAGCCACATATGAAATTTCAAAGCCATCAGGTTCCTTAAAATAAATGAGTAAATAGATAGTGCAAAGAGTATAATATTCATCTAAATATCTTGCAAATTAGCACAGTCTAGGAAAAGTTAAGGGACAGCTTAACATTTTAACATTACATGCTTTAAAATATTTAAGAAAACCCTAGAAAGAGAAATCAAGAGTTACATTTGATATTTTAAATTCACTTAAGCAGGGCTATGTCTTCTATTTCTTTTAACATTCCTGTTGTCTATTCTTTCCTACTCTTCCTCTCCTTCCCCCTTCTACCATCATGGCATATAGAATGCCTACTTCTCTGGATATATTAAGCACTCTTGAAATGTTTGAGTCAATGAAAATGTCACAACAGATCTGTTATGACATCACCAGGACTAGAGCATCATGGTTAGCAGACATAGCAACAAAGACACAACCTCTGGAAGCTGTCTTTAGCTTCCTACTAGACACTTTTATTGCCATTTGCCTATGTTCTATGAAAAAGAAGTAAAAGAAAATCACTGAAAATGTTTGCCAAAAAGCAAAGTGAGATAGTCAGTTACTCTGAGTCAAAAAAGGAGGTTGAGAATTCCAACATCACAAGAAGATGGTCCAGAAGTACTCTTGACCTTCCAGTGGTCCCTGTACTTGAAATCCCATCCTCAGTACAAGCAGTCATCTCTAGGATTGAGCAAGCACAGCTCCTTCGAGCCAGAGAGGTACGTTGTGAATCAGAAGTTTACCAGTTGCAAAGTATGGTTGGTTTTTGAGACAAGGTCTCTCACTATGAGTTCAGGCTTGCCTTGAACTCACTGTGAGGCCCAGACTAGCCTTGATTGAACTCCCAGGGATACTCTTGCCTTAGCCTCCCTTGTGCTGGAATTACAGATGTGTACCACCACGCCTGGCACAAGTTTTTGTTTTTTTTAACCTTTTCCTTTAGAACTCATGTTATGTTCATGTTATTTAACTGTATTTGAATTAATTTTGAATTCAAATGACAATTTCACCTGACTGTGGATAATGAACTCCAATTTAATATTAATATCTTCATATCAGAATTAAACCATTTAAGGGCCAGGATTCAGCTCAGTGGTGCTGCACCTGCCTTGCAAGCGCAAGGTCCTGAGTTTGATCCCTGGTACCAAAAACAAAAAATGCTAAATTTGGGACTGGGGATTTAGCTCAGTGGCACCACGCCTGCCTCACAAGCACAGGGTCCTGAGTTTGATCCCCAGTAACAAAAAAAAGAGAATTGAACCATTTAAGAAATAATAATAATAATAAAAGGTAAATCAGCTGGGTGTGGTGGTTCATGCCTTATAATCCCACACTCAACAAGCTTAGGTAGGAGGATTTTAAACTCAAGGCCAGTAGGGTTACATAGGGAGTTCAAAGCTGGCCTAAACTACATAATGAAACCCTGCTTCAAAAAACAAAAAGCGGAAAAAGAATAGAAATATTGGTATAGTATTGGTATTACTCCAGCAACAATAACAGTATTTGCTTTTAATAGCTTTACTGAGGTACCTGACATGCACTAAATACTTTTTTTTTTTGCTACTGGGGATCAAACTCAGGACCTTGCACATGCAAGGCAGGCTCTAAAACCACTGAGCTAAATCCCCAGCCCTACTAAATACATTTTTAAGTGTATATATTGTACTGTACCAGTACAATATATATTGGATATTATCATTATGTATATCTAAATATACTAATA